GAGCGTCGGGAGTGCACGGCCATGGGGACATGGACTGGAGACATCCCACACTGTGAAGGTAGAGCTGCTGCTTAAGCTGTCACAGGCCTCTGGTTGACCATGGAATGTTCTCCAGTGCTGTGGTCCTTTCATTCCAGCAGTTTATCCTTGTACTCCTCAGACTCCTGCTTGAAGTGTGTCTCTGTTCTTTCAGCCGTCACCTGCCCTGTGCTCAATGCACCAGACCAAGGAGAGCTGAACTGCTCCCATCTCCATGGGAACTTCACCTTTGGTTCTACATGTGCCTTCTCCTGCCAGAAAGGGTTTGTGTTGATGGGGCCAGACATCTCTGAGTGCACGGCCACAGGGACCTGGTCTGAAGACACTCCACGCTGTGAAGGTAGAGCTACTGCTAGAGCTCAAGGTGTCACTGGCCTTGGGGTCACACTTGGGTTTTTCCAAGCCTCTCAGATTGAACAGTTTAGCCTCATAGTACCTAGGGTCCTGCTTGAAGTTTTTCTCTATCCTTGCAGCCATTGCCTGTCCAGTGCTCAATGCTCCAGACTGGGGAGAGCTGAACTGCTCCCATCTCCATGGGAACTTCACCTTTGGCTCCACGTGTGTCTTCTCCTGCCAGATGGGGTTTGTGCTGAAGGGGTCAGAGACCCGCGAATGCATGGCCACGGGGACCTGGACTGGGGACTCCCCACAGTGCAAAGGTAGAGTTGCTTCTCGAGGTGTCACAGGCCTTGGAGTGACCATGGGATGCTCTTGGGTGTCTTGGTCCTCTCATTCCAACAGCTGAGCCACGTAGTCCACAGACTCTTACTTGAAATGTGCTTCTTTACCCTGCAGCCATCACCTGTCCAGTGCTCAGTGCTCCAGACCAGGGAGAGCTGAACTGCTCCCACGTCCATGGAGACTTTGCCTTCAGCACCATATGTGCCTTCTCCTGCCGGATGGGGTTTGCACTGATTGGGTCAGAGAGGCGTGAGTGCATGGCCACAGGGACATGGACAGGGGATGCAACACGATGTGAAGGTAGAACTGCTGCTCAAGGTGTCTCAGGCCATAGGTTGACCTGGGATGTTATTCAGTGTTTTGGTCCTTTCATCATAAGAGTTTAGCATTGTAGTCCCCAAGCTCCTTCCTGAAGTGTGCTTTTTTGCCATGCAGCCATTGCCTGTCCAGTGCTCAGTGCTCCAGACTGGGGAGAGCTGAACTGCTCCCA